ACGATAGCTAAGCCATTAAATTCCATTTGACATCTAATTCCACACCTCTAACTCCCTCCTATTGAGCAGGTGCTCCTCCCCGTGCGTGCGTTCGGAGGGTATCCGACCCGGGGAGTGGACACACGTCTCGTCTCGAGTCTCGGTTCGCCCTCTGACCCCCCAGGAAACCGTATCCGCCCTCGAAAGGCAGAGGCGAAAACAGGAGAAGCGGGAGCGGAGGAGGCTTAGAAAGGAGGCCGAGCACAGAGATCGACTCGCCAGGCTTATCGCAGGTGCTTAAGGAGCTTGGGAGATACCCTGCCTGTTGTTGTTGACCAAGTCGAGCTGCTGCTCGAAAAAAGTGTGGAATTCGAGCCTGGGGGCTATTTGTTGTGTGAAAGTTTAGTTAGTGTGCATGGAGAAGCTGGTGCTCGATTTTTCCTACTTGATCTTGTTCCGCAGAATCTTCAATTCATGAGTAACTTGCATCCAAAATATCCTAAAAATACTCTGAAAAATGGCAAATTCAATTCTCAACCTACTATCGATTTTTTCGACATTGCAGTGATCTTACACAATTTTTTCTTCCTAATTTAAATCCCTCTTCACCCATTAATTCTTCGTCACATGTTGCTTACCCTAGTTCCTAGTTGATGTGGTCTCACTTTTAATATTAGCTCTAATCCACCATTTATGAAGATTTAGATACCTCGGCGATGGGTGACCACGAGGACACGCGGTCCTCGGGAACCGGCCAGGAGATCTACATCCCCGCCGGGGATTCCGGAGGAGGGGGAACGATCCATATACCCCCAAATTCCGGTGACGTTACCGTGAATATTGGAAGTCGCGAACCGGAGAGCCCCGGATCGAGGTCGAACTATGGAGAGTTCTACTGGTAAGTTTAAGTTTCCGCCTTTCCGACATCTGCAAGCAGTTCAGCTTGTTTTGTTTAATTCTTGGCTTGCTCGTCCCTCTAAAAGAGACATTCAAAAATTTCAGGGGATCTGACGATCCGGAAATCCGGTAAATTACTCAACAAAAACTCCTTTGTGCTTGGGTAGTTAGCAAGAGCTCAAAAACCCTAAAAAGTAGCGCGAAAACGCTAATTTCCGACTTCTTCGAGCAGTTCAGATTTAAATCTGCCTTTAGGGACACGAACGGCGAGACGAACTACCACAACACTTCTTCGTTCGAGGACGACCTGCTCGATTTTGAGACTGGCAGGGGAGCCACGGCCGCCCGACTGGATCGTACTCAAGACGACCTCAACAAGTTCAAGCGCCGCATTGACAACAATGTGGAGCAGCAGAAGGAGTACTCGGATATGATGCACGCGTTGCAGCAAAAGGTAGCTGATCGACTTTTTCTGGAGGCTCAGAGCTCGACAATGTCTTTGAAAGAAAAGTTCATCTACTTTTAGCTCTCCGAGTACCGCAAGCACATCGCCGAGATCGAGGGCAAGATGGTCGGGGCTCGACAGCGGTATTTTGACGATGGGACTGCCGCTCATTTTGGGCTCGACCAAACCCTGTTCACCGACACGTCGATGAATACCACCGGGGGCCTCGGAGCTGGCGGCCTTGGAGGTGGATACGGAGGAGGAGCAGGAGGACCCGGACAGCGAGAGTAAGCCAACAAATTACCGACTTATTATTATTAAACGCAAACACTTTGCAAATCTTATGAAATAATACAAAAAATATGAATTTCTCGACGAAAAACCCGATTTTCGAAAACTTTAATTTTTAAAAATATTTAATGTTGTAAAGTAGTTCGTCCTCATGAAATATAGACGGGTTTTACCAAAAACCTCATTAAATCCGTTTAAGAATACAAACTTCAAAATTTTCTAGAATCTGTAAAATCCAATTTTTAGCCGTGTCGAACTCTGGTCGCCGGCCCGCCGCCAAAACATCAACCTCAACATCTGGGGAGAAAATGGCGCAAATGCCGGATTCGGATATGGAGACACCAACGCAAACATTGACATCCGTCTCGATGAGGAACGCCGCCGAGCCGACGACTTCCGCCAACAACTCGACAGCGAACGGGCTCTCACCAACGACCTGGCCTCCGAAAATGAACGTCTCCGCCGCCAGGCTCAAGCCCTCGACCAAGAGCTCCAAGATAAGGCCCGAGGCTTCGCCGTGAAGGAGCGCAACCTGAGCCAGTACCTCTCGGATGAACAGCAAAAGATGCTCGACCTCTGGACGGAGCTCCAACGCGTCAGGAAGCAGTTCGCCGACCTGAAGGACCAGACGGCTCGTGACTTGGAGAACCAGCGTTCAGAGTTCACCCGCGTGGTCCGGTCGGCCGGAAATAACCCGATCGGGTTTTTGGGGCTTGACCATCCGGGTGGTTCCTACACGAATGACCACATCCTCATCGAGACCGTCAGGAAAATGCGTGATGGAGGAAATTCGGACATCAAGGCCCTGCTCGAGGAGATGAGGGCCGGAAAATCGGCCGGAAGCTCGGAATCTGATGCGGAGCTTCATAAGGAGCTCATGAAAAAGTATGAGGAGTCGATTGAGAGGAACATTGAGCTTGAGTCCAAGGGGGATGACCATCACCGGAAAATCGCCGAGCTTGAGGCCGAGCTCAGACGCGCTAAGGACAAGCTGAACGACTCGCAGTCGGCGCTGAAGAAGCTGCACGAAATGGCCCAGGATTCGGAAATCCAGAAGGACGGGACCGTCCCGATCAAGAGGTCCAGATCGATGTCCCCGGGCAAGACGCCTGTTTCTCCTACCGAGGTTTTGCGAGCAGTTCGGAATGCGCTGAGGAACAAGGACAACGATATTCAGCAGCTTGAGCGGAAACTTAAAATTGCTGAAGCTCAGGCAAAGGAGTTTGTCAGCAAGTTTGAGACGGCCGAGGAGCAGCGCCGCCGCTTGGACAAGAACCTGACGGATGCCAAGCGCGAGATCGCCAATCAGCAAAAGAGCATTGACGAGAATGAGCGTGTTCTGCGACGCCTTGAGGACAAGCTCCGCAACTCTGAGTCCGAGAAGCTCGCCGCCGAGAAAGCCAGGAAGTTCATGGAAGATGAACTTGCTCGGCTGCAGGAGCAATATCAAAAGGCCACTTCAGAAGATGCTCGGAAGATCTGGGAAGACTCCGAGGAACAGGTCAACAAGTTGGAGGAGGACTACCAGAATCGCATTGCCGAGCTTAATCGTAGGATCGAGAATCTTGTACGCGACAATACGAAGTTGAAACAGGAGATGGGACCTCTTAAGGACAAGTATCGTGATCTGGAGAGCGACTACAACTCGATGCAGCGCAGGCTGGACGAGAAGGACTCTCAGATCCGCTTCCTGGACAACATCAAGCAGGGCCTGCAGAAGGATATCGAGGACCTAAGGACAAAATGTGACGTCCTGGTGTCGGACAATGAAAAAACGCACCACGATATGGACGCCGCGCACAAACAGGTCCAACTCTATGAGCAACAACTCAAAGACATCAAGCAGCAAAGAGACGACTTCCAAAAACAGAAAGACGAGTTCTCGAGGAGCCTCTTTGAAATTAAGCAGCGAATTGAGGATGAGCGAAAGGCGAGAAATGATGCTTTGAAGAATGGAGAAAGATCTAACGACGAGATCGACAAGTTAAAGCGCGCCCTCCATGAGAGTGACACTCAAATCGCCTTCCTGCAACGTCACAATGACGAGCTGGACACGACCGTCAAGAATAACCAGGCCAAGATTGCCCAACTTGAGAATGAGATCCACTCCCGGAACACTGAGATCCAGAAGCTGAACGACTTGAACTTGAGGCTGCAGAATGAGAAGCAGGAGGTGCTCAACCAGAAGCACAAAACTGACGCTGACAATGACGCCCTCAAGGAGAAGGCCCGAAAGTCGTTGGCTGAGGTGGAGAAACTCCAGAATGAGATCAAGGCCCTGGAGGCCGAGCGAGATCGAGCTCTAGCTGGGGCCACTCAAGAGGGTCAGAAGGCTACTGGATATGCCAAGGAAGTGGCCAATGGAAAGGCTGAACTCGCTGAACTCCAGGAGTTGGTGAAGAAGCTGGAGGATGAGATCAAGGACCTGAAGGATCGGCTGAGGAATGGAGGACGAAGGAGCGGCCTTGGAGGAACCAACGTGAACATTAATGTTGGAGGCGGAGGAGCTGGAGGACGAGGTGAGGAGGGAGCGGGAGAAAGAGGCAGAAAGAGAGCGAGAGACAGCGAGAGAGAAAGATGGAAAAAGAGCGAGAGAGAGAGAGAGAGAGAGGCGAGAGAGACAACGAAAATATTCAAAAATCGCGAAAATTAGCTAGTTCTACAACGAAACTTAGACAAAAAACTTCAAGAACTTTTTAGAAATTATGAAGCCGTTGAGCCAAATGCGTAAGGAATTAAAAACGGAATATAAGGCTTAAAAACAGTCAAATCATTTTAAGGAGATTTAACACAGGTGTCGGGTATTTTAACAAATTTAACAAATTAGTTACACCAAGAGTTCTAACCTTATTTAAACTATTTAAAATTAGTTAATGGAGGTACAAAACCCTAAAAAAATGCTTCGAAACGAGCTATTTTAGGTGGAAGCCGCCCCGGTTCTGTCTACGGCCCTGGAAGTACCGGCGGAGGTTCCGGTGTTCCCGGAGAGCCCCAGGAGAATATCTACGATACCCCTGGGCCTGGTGATCAACGTGGCGGCGGATCCGTCGACATTCCCTCGAATGTCCCCGGAGGAGGGGACATCAATATTCCGTATAACGGCGGAAGGTATGTATTAAAGATGTTAAGCCGAAGCCTAAGCCTAAGCTAAGCCTAAATCTAAGCCTAAGCTAAGCCTAAGCCAAGACTTGGCCAAGCCTAAGCTAAGCTGAATCTTAACCTTATATCGCTACTTTAAAGGGACGGTGCCGACGGCCGCCCAGGCTACGATGGCCGAGATGGCGGTATTGACGTCACGATTGACAACAGGGGCTACCCGGGAGGTATCTACGATCAAGATGACGAGCTGACAGCCATCCGCATTCGCGACATTAATGATAAGTGGAAGATGGAGGTGGAGAAGCTGGAGAATGAGAAAGATACGCTCGAGAGGAAGCTGCAAGAGCTGAAGGACGAGCTGGCTCAGGTAGGGAGAATATGGGGAAACTGGGAATTAAAGTATAAAAGGGAATTCTAGATTTGGATTCCAAAACACTAGCAAAAAACACCAAATATTCTATTTTCAGGTCGGCCGCGGCCAAGACCGCAAGGACAGCGACCTCGCCGAACTGCAGCGCAAGCACCAGGCCGAGATCGACAAGCTCAAGCAGGAGATAGCCGCCCTCCAGGACAAGCACCTCTCCGACCTCGATGACGAGAAGGAACAGTACACAAAGTCTGTGGACAGCCTCAAGGCCATAGAGAACGAGCTGCGGAACAGGATCGCCAACCTGGAGAAGACTCTCTCGGAGGCGCTGAACAGGGAGAATTTCCTGGATGCGGATTTGAGAGATAGGGACAATAAGATTGAGCAGCTACTTGCCGCGAATCAGAAGCTAAAGGACGATCTGGAGGATCTGAGGAACGAGTTGGACAAGGAGGTTCAGAAGTGGAAGAACGAAGCTTATACGGCGAAGTCGGAGGCTAAGGCCTTGGAGACGGCCAATGCTGGGTTGAAGGCACAGCTGAGTGCAGCTACCGATAAGGCCGACCACCTGGGCAAGCAGGTCGGAGAGATGACGGCCAGGATCAGGGAGTGTGAGTTTTTTCGAGATAGCGAGAGAGAGAGTGAGAGGGAGATACGTATTTTAACCCCAAAATCCCCCATTTTCAGTAACATCCCAAGTGCGACGCCTTGAAGAAGACCTCGCCGACGCCAAGTCTAACCTCCTTCAAAAGGACGGCGAGCTGGAAAGCGCCATGAACCGTCTCAGATCGCTGGAGGACCAATTCGCCACCCTGCAGAGTGAGAGCAGCAAGTGGCGCTCGGAGCTCGACCAGGCCTTCCGTGAGAACGACGTCCTCAAGAACAGCAACACCAACTTGGAGTCGGAGCTGAACCGCTTGAGAACCAAGCTCCAGCAGACCGAAGATGGCTTCCGGGACTTGAAGAACAACTACAACGTCATCAAGTCGGAGGCGGGTATTTTAGAGAGTTGTAGATGATCAATAAAAAGTAGTAACTGTGGCTGAACAAGTAGAAACTATAGAAAGTGTAGATTATCTCTATTTTAGCGTGAACGTCTCCAAAACGCCTTCCGAGACAAAGCCAAGCAGACGGACCACCTGAACCAGCTGAGCCAGACGTTCGAAAACAGGATGACGAAGATGAGGGACGAACTGAACAAGACCTCGGAGAAGCTCATCGCCTCCGAGACGAACAGGGCAAACTTGAAGAACGAGCTGGACAAGATCCAGACCGACTTGAAGTTCGGTATTGATCAGATGCAGCGCAAGACCGAGGAGTACGACTCGAATTTGAATGATTTGAGGTGAGGAAGGAGACAATTTCCAATGAATATCAACCAGAGCAAGCTAGCACAGATTTTTTGGGAAATTGAAAAGTAACCAAACCCCATTTAGAAATGCCCATCGCGCCGCCGAAGACGGTCGTCTCAACGCACTCATGGAAGTCGAAACCAAGAAGTACGAAGTGAACGACCTGTCCTCGCGTCTCGACAGCGCTGAGCAGCGCCTGGGCGCCCTTCAGCAAGACTTTATCGTGGCTGACCAAGAGCGAGACGCGCTTGCCGATGCCCTCCGTCGCTTCCAGGCCTCCGCCAACCGAATCATTAACATTAATGCGTTCGGGGATGGTGGATTTGGAGGTGTTGGTGGAGCCGGCGGTGTAAATACCAGGATTGGGATAACGGCCGGAGGAGGAGCCGGAAGTTTCGATCAGCCTGGGGTAAGTTTTAGAGGGTTAAAGGGGTTTGGATGTCGAAAAACTAGCGCTGCAAAACCTGCAAAAATTCCTATTTTCAGGGAACCACCATAACCACCCGTTTCGGACCAGGCGGTACCTGGGGAGGCATCCCTGCCCCAGACGGAACTGTCGACATCCCATCAAACGCACAGGACTCCATCGACGGTGGCGGAGTGCCGCGTAGCGTTCCCTTCCCACCTGGTGTCGACTATGCCGGAGGTGCCGGTCCGGCAGCCGGCCAACATATCGACTTGTCGAACTTGGAGGGCACACTGCAGCGGCTCTTGGCCCGGATTGAGCAGCTGGAGGCGGAGAGGGTAAGTAATAGCTTAGGATAGGCTTAGGCTTGGGTTTAGACCTGGGCTTAGGCCTCTTGGGCTTCAGCAAAATCTCTAGAAACCCTAACCAGAAATTCTCAAAAATTCCTTGCCAATCCCTTTAAACCCCTCCTTTTAGAACTCCCTCCGCGATGAGCTCAACCGACTCCAGAAGAAGGCGGCCGACTCGAACTCCACCACCAACAAGCGCGAGATCCACGTCCGCACCATCGAGGAATCACTCCAGGATATCGAAGATGAAAAGCGAGGCTTCGAAGCCAAATACAACTCTGCCCTCGCGCTCCTGAAATCCCAGGAAGAAGCCATTAAACAGAGAGACGAAGAGAGAAGACAGATGAAGTCCAAGATGGTCGCCGCTGAGCTCCAGGCTCGCGGAAAGGAGGCCCAGCTCCGCCACCTCAACGAACAACTCAAGAATCTGAGGAGCGACTTGGACAATGCGCACGCGGATATTAGAATTCTGCGGGATCACGAGGAACAGTGGGATGCCTCTAGGTTCCAACTTGAGAGCAAGAACCGCGAGACCGATGCCGAGACGCAGCGGCTGCAGCTACAGATCGCTACTTTCGACACGGAGCGTCAGGTGGGTTACCGTTTTAGTTATATCTCGAGGCAAAAACGTCCGATTTAGACGATTTTTACAGAATTCGAAAGCCCTTGAAAAGACGCATAAAATACAAGTTTAAAATCGTGGTATTTTTGCCGTTTTTTGAAGGTTCTTTGGAAAAGAAAAAAAAATGCGCTTGAATTTTTTTGGAAAAAACTTGGAAATTTCGGAATTTTCGTCTTTTCGAAAATCGTATACGACCCTTTTTTTTTTTTTTTTTTTAAAAACCGCCGAGAGACCCCAAAAAACCCCCGTTAAAAATATATACACCAAAATTTTAAAAATTAAACAGCGTAAATTGATTCAGCTTTTCGAGGGCTAAAAAATTGTTGCTATACAAGACACCTACGTCCAGATATTCTTACAATTTCCGGAAAACCCCTATATCTCAATTTTAGAACCTCCAAGACAAGGTGAAACAACTCGACGCTGACCTCCGCCTCACCGAGCAGAAGATGTCCGACCTGAAGGACGACAACGACAAGCTGAAACGAGAGATCTCGAAGGCCGAAACCCTGGAGATCGAGCTCCGCCGCCAGGCCGACCAGTACAGCAAGACCAATCAGGACTACCTGACCGTCAAGGATCAGCTACTTGCCGCCCAGAACGAGCTGAACCAGGCCAACCTCAGGAAGCAGACGATGGAGAGCGAGCTGCTGAACTTGAGAAGCGAGCTGAGGGATAACAAGCAGAGGTTATTGAGGCAACTGTGTCGAAAATTTGCTTTTTAGGGTCCATGACGTCAACTCTCGGGTCGCTGATCTTCAGCGTCAACTACAGGACTCTAACGCTGAAAAGAACAGGCTTGAGGATCGGATCTTGAACCTTGAGAAGCAGATCACGCAGCAGAGGAGCACGGAGACCGATCTTAAGCAACAGCTGGAGACCGGGAAGAATGAGAAGCGGCAGCTGGTCAAGGTAGTTACGAAATACATAGCTCAAAAATTATACAAAATTCACCATAAAGAAGAGGACCACCATAACAATTTGCTTTAAACCCTTAGAAAATTGAGAATTTCAATCAATTGGCAAAAACCATGGTCAATTTAAGATGATAGAAAAGTACAGGTAAATCTAGCCCATTTCCGTAATACCTACAACCTAATTATTTTTCTAGGATCTCGAAGAGCTCCGCCGCCGTTTCACCCAGCTCGAAACCGAGAAGGTCAAGAATCTGCACCTCCTCGAGGGATGGAAGAAAGAGAGGGCCCAGATGCTCAAAAAGATCGAGATGTTGGAGGCGGACAAGCGCAGAACTGATCAAGCCATCCGGGAGACGGCGCTCCAGAGAGAGGCCATCGAGAAGAGCCTGAACGCTATGGAACGCGAGAATAAGGAGCTGTACAAGAACTGTGCTCAGCTACAGCAACAAATCGCCCAGTTGGAGATGGAGAACGGGAATCGCATTCTGGAGCTCACCAACAAGCAACGAGAGGAGCAAGAGATGCAGTTGAGGCGAATGATGCAGGAGAAGGCTCAGATTGAGAAGGTGAGGGATTTTAAAGGGAAAGTGACAGGAGAAGAGCGAGAAAGAGCGAGAGAGAGAGCGAGAGAGAGAAGAGGGAGAGAGAGAGGAGAGAGAAGAGAGCCAGCGCAAGAGCAAGACGCTTTTAAAGTTACAGTGACAGCTAAAACCCAATCTTTCAGACTGCACAGGTTGAATTTGAAAAGGTAAAGCTCGCCAAAAACCGAGTGAAATAATCTCCCTAACGTAGCATGAAATAATTTAATTCGAGGAGTCACTAAAAATTAAAATTTTCAAAGGCATGATTCCCCTAAAATTACTACAAATTAGGTGATCGAGAACCGCGAGCGCACTCACCGCAATCGCATCCAGCAGCTCGAGGACCAAATCCGGATCCTGAGGGAGCAGATGGATCAGGAGAGGCGGAGGAGGAGGTGAGGATGAGAGAGATAGAAAAAGCAAGTAAAAATACAAAATTCTGGGCAAGCTAGCAGGGATTCTTTGGGAATCCTTGTTAAGACATTTTTAGGAAGGTCTGGAAAATTGGCAAAGTAGCAAAGACTTTTGCGGAGTTTCTAAATTCTAGTCTACCTTACCCAAACCTAAAATTTTCCCAAATTCCCCTCTTCCGCCCCCCGACTTGTCTAAATTCAAATTTCTAGGGACATCGCCGACCGGGCTCTCGTCTCGGACATTGGCCGCTTGGGCGGGAACACCCTGGGAATCCGTAGTTTCGGTCCCGGCGGTACAGACGATACTACCATCAACGTCAACCTGGGCCGCAATGGTATCCACTCGGCCGGCGGCGCCTTCGGAGGGTATGTTACGTTCCAAATTATACCCCGTTTTCCCCATTTTTTAGATTTGGCTCAAGGCATGGCGGGTGGGTGTTATTATTGAGTGTCATAAGCATTTATAATAGCTTCTAATTAGTCCCGCTGTCCAGAGGCTTCTGACGTACTGTAGTTTGTAGTTAGAGATTTCTGTGGATGTCCTTAAAATTGTTTAAAAGTCAAAAAAGCAGGAAAAATTCCAGAATTATTCGAGACTACGGAAATTACGGTATTGGCGCCTGGAGCGGAGGGTGAGGCCAAAAACATTTTTTACTTTAATAATTTTAAATGCCCCCAAATCATCCTCAAAATCACTGGCAACACCATAAAAATTGCGATAAATTAAACTTAGCTTAAATCTAACTTTTAAGAAACTAAAAAACATTAACCTTTAGGTTGGGAGCTTGGGATGGAGGGTAAGAAACTATAAAAAATCGACAATTACCTATTTTCTGACTCAGCTACGGTAGTTAGACCACGCTAACAGATCCATCAAAACAATCTAAAAATAGGGCTTTTTAAGTTAGAAAATCTTAAAAATACAGTTAGAAAGTTTAGAAAAAAAGCCTAGAAAACCGTAGGGAGCACCAGCTTAATAATAACCACGGGGTGGCTACGCAGTCTACATCACACGTCCCTAGACGGCCATTTTTCAGGAAAAATGGCAAAGAATTCGGAACAAAATTGCCTTTTTCAGATTCGGAAATTATTCCGGGGTTCGTTCGACGTTTGCGTCGAACCCTCTGACACCACCACTTGGAACCTCTACCCCTACGCACCGCCCGACGTATGACGGGAGACCGACCTCGGTGCTTGGTAGGGATACCAGCGGTGCCGGAAGTACCTATGGAGATCGAGGCAGTGTGTATGGAGGTGGGATTCGGAAGGAGTGATTTTAAAGGGCCAGTGAAGCACCAAAATCGATCCGTTCACTTGACTGGATGCCGACAGCTAAGCATTTTGCCATTTTGGCTTGGTCGCACGTCGCTGGGGCTATAGCATGCGTTCTAAACGCGTAATTCTGTGTAGTTCTCTAGATCTATCGAATTGGAAGGGCTGATTTTTAGGGATGCTGGCACATTTAAAGGGACGGGAAAGGCAAAAAGCCTCGTCGTTACAAGCTAAAAATCCCGGCGCTTACGCTATTATAAACTCGATTCAAACATTTTAAAAAAGGCGATCGGATATACCGGCGACTCTTGGGTGCAAGGCAAACTAGCAGAAACGATTTAAAACATGAGAAGCTTCACAACTTCTTTTTTTAGGCCGCTCCATCGACACCCCCGGACCGAGAGACCCATCCCTAGTCGAAATCCCGAAAGCGGAAGATGGTGAGTGTTTTCTTAAGAGAAGGAGAGAGAGAGAGAGAGAGAGAGAGAGAGAGAGAGAGAGTAATCCTATATTTCTAGACGCCAGCAAGGAAATCCACGTCCCCTCGGAGCTGAAGTACGATGATGGCCAGTCGAGCATGACCAGTAGGTTCTTACAAAAATCCAGAAAATCTGATTAAGCTTAAATTAAGCCAAGAATTACTTTTAGGGCAGTGTGAGTACGAAATTCAGTCCTGAATGCAAATTGTGAGCCACAAAAAAAGCTGAAATCTTAACCCCAACTTCCAGAACAATAGTTACAAAGCTTCTAAAAAATTCCTGTAGTTAGAAACAATATACAAGTTCGAATCTTAGATCAAAAAGTAGTAAAAATAGCCCTAAAAACTAATAAAAACCCGGTAACAAACTCCTACAAATCCGAAAAAATTACGATAATATTTTCAGGCTCGCACTACTCAACCCTGGGCCGAGACCATGGACTTTAAAAAAAACGTAAAACTTCGATTTCCATGCCGTAATCGATTTTTCTGCGCGCAGTTTTGCTTTGTTTTTTCTTTACCGTATCTTTTTCAATTTTCTAATTTTCGAATGCCTGATTTTTTTCGATGTTTTCCCGGTTTGTCTAGCTACTCCCCCAAAGCCCGATAGCAGAGCTTACGCTAGTGGATTATGTTGTTTTTTAATTTTGGTATCTAATTTTTGTTACTTTCTATTTCATGCCCCAAAAACCAGACGCAAAGTGTTCTCTCGCAGCAGCTTTTGCATACCAAGTGATAGTCACCCTCCGGCTAATTTTTTAATTTTCGATTATTCTAATTTTCCTCGATTTGTCAGTATTTCCAACTATCCGCCATTAATGCGCAACTCTCCACTCTTTGCCCCAAGCCCAGACACGCCGCCGTAACTTTCCTCTAAACAGCGCTGCCTGCCCCCTGTGTATCGATGTTTCTTCTTAATAGAAATTCAAAAAATCGGTGGAACGACAGGACAGAATTGAGCCTTGAGAGGTCCTTTAAAACAGCAAAAGATATACAAAATGGCTTCCAGGTCCAAAAAAACCGAAAAATATGCGAAGATTACAATATCTCCCCAAAAAACCAACCTGATTTGGGATCAGGCAGCTCCGGCCGAAGCAGCAGGGTAGGAACACCTAAAATACGTTTTTATTCTGAAAAATGAGACATTGACAGAATTATTAAAATAAAAATATAAAAACAAATTACCTTATGCAGCCACTTCAACCATTTCGGGTTCAGATGGCCGTATGGCTCCTCGTTTTTCGGCTTGAATACGCCGACGATTTTCTAAAAATGGAGGTATTTAGTAGAGTACTACTCGCTTTTCTTTGTTTTTCCTAAAGGATCTCTGCTTGCTCGCCTGGCTGAACAAAACGAGAATCGTAAAAAAATCGGTTTTTGCTATCCTACTGAACCTCTTCTAGTATTTGCGTTAGTGTTTGATCAGCTTGTTTTTCTCTAAGTCGCTATTATCAACTTTCTCCAATAATTTTTGTTAATTAGCCATCATACGCGAACGTTAAGTCGATTTGCAATTTTACAGAAATCACAATTTCCATAAAAAACCGACCCCCTGCGTATTCTTCACAAAATAGCTTCCCGAGGACCCCTGGGCAATCCTTTCCGGGAATACCCCATGATGAATTGCCCGAATAGCCTCCTCCATGGCCGTCTTGAACTCGTCGCCGCCAGCCAGGGCTCCGTACTCCTCGGCCAGGACAGCTTCGTCTAAAAAGATAAATAAATAAACGTTTCGATTGTTTTACTCTACTTTAAAAGCAAATGGACAACAATAGCAGTTTTAGAAAGCCTTCGTAACAATCAATGGATACCTTACCTATCAAAAAATTGGGGTCTTCATCACCGGAAGTGCAGCTACTTCTTGTCGCTCGTCCCTCTTCAGCAATCCTGGCCGGATCTCCTACCGATCGATGCAAAATCGGCGTCCTTTCATCCTGAAAAAATAGCGTTTCATAGGAATGCCCAAGAAAAGTCACTATTTGAAGTTTAGTAGCCATTTTACTTCCTCGAAACCTCACCAAATCCGGCTCATAAATATAGGAACGTCGCATAGCAATAGTTTAATTGGTTCAACGAGTATAGAGGATAGCTTTTTCAGTAAGAACTCTACAGAAAGTAGGCGCTAATCTTAACGAAATCACGCTGCTGTTCGCACTATGCTCTCGCTTGTGGCGCTGACTGACGAAACAGGTTCTCCCGGCCTCTTTTTCTGCCTTGGCAAGCCCCCAAATAACGCGAGGGAAGTCTATATATTGACTTTAGGAGCTGGAAAATAATAGTTTTCGTGGCAGGATAGAATTTTCCATGGTATCGGCACTACAAAAGTATACGGTTATTTGAATGAAAAAAATTGCCTTTTTCAAATTTCTAGACTGGTTGTTCGTCGTTTTCTTGCTTTTTTCTCTTACTTTAAAGGCGCTGAAATTTTTGGAACTCCAGAGATTGAATTGTATAATTTTCCTATTTTAGTCTACTTGCTTAGCTTTTTCTTGCGTTTCTAAGACAGACTTGTAATATACTTTAAAGTCGCTGAAAAGCCTAGAATTCCAGCGATTGCTTTCTATAAGTTGTACGATTGCTTTCGTATTCCAAACTGCAAACCACAAGGAATTTTTCAACTAACCTTAATATTTAACCGGTTTTATAAGGCTTTTCCGTGTTCTGATTGAGGCTGTTTCTAGGGTTGTTAAACGACTTGATTCGTTGACGAATTGATTCGTCAAAAATTCAAATGAATTGATTCGGCAGCAATGAGAGCGACCCTTCGGTTTAATTCTAATGGTTCCAAAATCATAAAAAACTCGAGATTTCAATGTTCTACAACAACTGTTCAAGAAATCAAGATAGCTTAATAAAAAATAAAAAAAAGTAAGCAAAAAAATTAAATGTAAATGGCCCACCTTCCTGGCCGGCTTCTTCTTATTAATCAGGCATGCATTTTCATCGCCAAAATCTCCCTCGGACTCGGACACTGAAAACGAGACTAAATAAATAGGAGCTCCGGAATTAGTAAAAAGTATATGCTTTTAGTATGTTTATTAACAAAAAAATACCTGATTGATAGGTGATGCCGCCAACTCGAGTCGTACGATGGGTTCGGGAGCCAGCAACTGAAATTCGGATTTTAACCTGAAGTTTCAGCTTTCTAAATTTTTAAGCTACTAAAAATTATCTTATTATGCTTTGATAAAACTATATAAATTATTTCATTAAGTTTTAAAAAATATACGAACCTTCCGAATCGTCCTCCGACATTGAATCAGCCTGAAAAATACATAAAAATCGAATTTTGAAACATTTTTGGCGTACCCAATACGAATAGTAAGAGTCAACGGTATCCATTTTTTGGGTGTAGAATTAGTAGAGGTATATTGCTTAGAAATCAGAATCCAGAATTCGATAGCTTTCCAAATTTCCGACCCTCAAAAATGCCACGAGCCAATTGTAGCTCGAGCCAGGAGCCTGTCTATAGATACGATCTAGCGCCGCGCAAAGCTCACGTAGCTCCAGAAAATTCTTGGCTTTTTCCGGAAGGGGGAACTTAATCAATTATAAAATAGTATAGTGATTAACCCAATATAAATCTAACGCCTAATTGGAAGAAAATAGCTTGAAAAGCATCAGAATATCCAATAAAGAAGCGAACTTCGACCGAGAAATAGTCAGAAAACTGCAGATTTTAGTACATTCAGGATGGTAGATCGCTATACAACCGCTAAATAATACTTTAAGCATATTACTAGACGTTAAAAAAAACATAAAAAGCATCTTCAAAGAAAATTTAACCCATTTTTGTCCAAAAAAGGTGTTGAAAATGCTGATTTTAGGAAAATTAGGGAGATAGGTTCTATAAAACTATGAATTATAGCAGAAAAACTATTCTACAGATAATATCAACGTCTTTTAATTCAATTTAAGCCCAAAAATTTAAAATTCAAAAGAATTCCGTTGACCTTTATGCCATGAAAATCCCCCTAATCTCTGCGTACCTGACCCCAAAATTTGAATGCGCGCCGGGGGCGGGTTGAGCTGTTTTTGGGCAATCCACCCGAAAGTGGCAATTTACGCATTAATGGCACCATTAATAATTTGAACTTAAAGTTAATTCGTATACTGTAAACCCCAAACTTTATTTATATTTCTATTTTAATAATTCCCAAAAATACACATCCCAAGTGTTGACCCCAAAATACAAGGTTTAGGCGAGCTTTCGAAAGATAAAGCATCACTCACACGACCTGATAAAAAACGCCTCATAATAGGGGTCGGGGTGGCAAAAGGCCAGCGATAGTGCATGGGGAAGCGTGGTGGGACCCAGGGGAAAAGAGAGACGAACTAAAGAAAAAGCTGGGCTTTAAAGGGACTGGAACATGCGGCTTAAAAATAGCTAAAATGTTCAATGAAAGCCTGACATTACAGTATGGAGCTCTACTATTCGCGCTAAAAATTTTGGAAAAATTATAAAGAAAAGTAGGAAAAGTCAATAGGATTTCGAAATGAGCTGCATCGAGAGGAGTACGGTATGAAAAACTAATTTCTGTGAAAGGCGGTAAGGACGATTGTATAATTCCACAAAATTTCAAGTTATAGATGCCCATGATTCAGGCGGAAAGTATTGGTCATTTTGCCAGCTCCCGCCGACGACGCCCGAAGAAAAACACGCGGGGCAAACAGCATTGTTGTGGGCTGATCGATTTGTATTTGTTGATCCGGAATTCTGAACGTACTTTGAATTCGTCAGGACGAGTTTGCACTTTTTTAAGGCCCATAAATAATAATGTTTGGATGGCGCGGCGGAGCTTTGCGCATTAATGGAAAAGTAGCAAAGGATCGATCCGATACCTAAAAAATTTAGTTTCTGAACATCGAATTATCCTCAGATTCAAGGGACGAGGAAGGCACTCAGGGCGGTCTTTTGCAGCACTTGGAACGCTGCCGAGATTAATTACAGTAAACGATGTGGTGGTATCTGAAATTCTACTCTTAACTAGTGATATTTCTGAAATTATCAGTTGAAAGCCACAGAAGTTTTGAATCTCAATTTTTAAAAGTCACGCTCGCATCTTTGATTTTTGCTTCCCTCTGAAACTTTTGTCAGAGGCGCAACTTCTTGCTCGGTTTCCTTACTGGTTTCTACCCCTTCATGATGCCTTTACGATACTCCCAATGCTACCTTTTTGGTGAAAGGATGCCAAAAATAGTTTTCTAGGTACTCCTCCTCCTGTAGATCCTTCGACCGTTAGACTTGGAGATACCTTTAGCTCAATCTATCCATCGTAGTGTTCTTGCGTACTCGCCCCGGGCCCATGCCCTATTACACACCATCGTGCCGCTAGCAGCGCTACGCCCAAGGCCAGCAACTAGCCGAAAGAAAGACATATGGACAGACGAACAAACAGACAGACCGACTAAAAAGACAGACGGACCGAGGAACCAATCGGATC